GGCTTCAGCGTTTTGTTTTTGAGCGTCATCGGTCACGTGACCGAGAAGTGTGGCTTGACGTGAGTCAAGCGTGACACAGACGGATGTAACAGAGAATCCGGTAATTTTTCAAAATAAAACATCTTTAGTGTTCCGAAATAAATAAAATGGAAATAAGGCAAGTTCTTTCTGTGCGGCCCGGTACCAAATGCCCTGCGGACCGGTACCGGTCCGCGGACCGGCGGTTGGGGACCCCTGTATTACACGATGCTATTGATGTAAATATGTACAGTTTATTTGATCGTGTTGCAACTATGCCTGTTGGAGTTTTAATGTTTTTAGATGATTGAAAAAAAAAAAGTCATGTATGTTTCCCTTGTCATATGCAAGCCCTCGAGGCACGTCGTTGCTGCATTTTTGCAAATACGTTTCCTGTAATGCTTCATAATTCACTACTGGCAGTAGCAAATATGTAAGGATTCAAGGTTCACGGTTGGAAAACTGAAATGAAAAACTACTTTCAGGAGAGATGATTAAATGCGTCTGCTTTTTAGTACATGTTCCCAATTTCCTCATTGAAAGGAAAGGCATCATCATCATCAAAAGACAAAGCCGGTGTCCTTGCCCCCTTTCTCAGCCAGCACGTCAAGAGAGAGCTAATGGTAGCCAGATGAGGCACAAATTATTTAAAAAGACTCATAGGCACAGCTTTTATTCAATACAAAAGGGGAGGTGTGGGAGGAGCATATGTGTCCCAAAGTTCCGGTCAACTGGGTGGACAGAATGCAAACGTGGCGGGCCGCCCAGCGCTTTGCTTTTATGGGGCACACAATCAAGCAGTTGGTTTAATTGACGGCGCGGCTGATAGGCAAATAATGTGTCCGGCCGGGCATGTAAATGAGAGCGCATAGACTTGAGTTTATCCAGGGTTAGGCCTGTCCTGGCGTTTAGTTTTAAACATATCTCAACCGTAATGCTACACTATCCTTTACCTTCGTAGCTGCGCTTCAGGTGGGTTTGGAAAGTGGAAAGCAATATTTGAAGCCTTCTTTTTTTTTATATTATACATAAAATACAAACCTTTCATGAACCGTGTGAGATCTCCAAACTACTGTAGTATCACTGATGATGATAATTTCCCTTCTCAGTTGTCTTGGGTCATGTTCTTTCAGGTGGGATTAGAAGGCATTTTGCTCCATTGGCAATAGGATCCTTTTAATCCAGTCTTGTGAAGCAGCGATTAATTGCTTTCAGTGTTCTCACCGAAACAATCAGGGAAGTATTGAGTTCGTATTGTTTTCCACTCGTGCTGCCGTATTGTAAGATGCCGGCAGGGAAGCTAGCACAATGGTGTTCCTTTATTCCGCCTCGAGAGTTATAATGTACTGTACGGTAATGCTATCCCTTACCGCTTCGTAGGACAGGCTACTGTGGGATGGGAGTTTGTTTTGCCGGCCAACATGAGTCACCTGTATGTGTAGTGCTATATGTTTATGTCCACCCATACTTAATTCTCGATCATTGAACTAAATCTTCTACAAACTAATAGGACCATTTCATTAGTTTACGTGGAATCCAACTGGAAGGCAATGCATCCCAACATAACCTCCTTGGTCGAGGTAATATGTCACCAGGAATTGCCCACCCAGTTAATAGAGCGAACATCCTGTATTTTTATCCTTGAATGCTTGACTACAATTTGGGTCATATCTAGGTCAGTGCAGTTCTTTGCATCGGACAGGTTCTGCAATTATTGTAGCAGCTAACCTAATTTGTGGAAAAAGTTCCAGATTGTGGCTTGATATTGTAAATGTTTTGCAGAGAGGCCTCACTGGGAGTGTATGTTCAAATTCACATACAGTACAGTTGTCGATAGCGGTGCCATAACGTTATCCAGACAGGTTTCCTGCTTTCCTAAACTAAGACATGAGAAACGGGAAGACAAATTTGCTGTTCATTTTTGCACCTGATGTATGAGTGTGAATCTTTGTGTATGATTGGCTGATGACCAGTTGAGGGTGTGCCCCGCCTCTCAATCAGCTGGGATAGGCTCCAGCTCACCCTGAGGAAAAGTAGGATAGAAAACAGATGGATGGATGCCTGGAGAGACGATCCTGCAACAATGGACCCGCCTACCTTTTAGATACACAGTACCATATGACCTAATCCCATACATATAAAAAACAGGAAATATATGGCATTTGGTTTTTCTGATGGTCTGTTAGCATGCATTATATTAGAATGAACAATCTTGGCAAGACCAAGCCCAGTAGACTGGAGGAGAGGGCGGGACGAGGAGCACCCACGCCTACCGTCTTCAGCATGGTAAGCCAATGAGGAGGTTGGTGCGGCTGGTTGTTCCAAATGTTTCTTCTACTTCACCGTGTGTTTTCTGCACATAAAAAAAAAATAAAATAAAATTCCGGGACGCGCTGCCCTAAAACAGGAAGTGGCACTCTACTTTCACATGCCCAAACAAAATGCACTGTGTTGTAACATATTTAGCAACAGGCTGTACTGGAGATATTGTCTTTTTTTTTTTAAACTTTCAATGCACATTTCCCTTTCAGCCTTTCCTCTATTTAAGCAGCATGTCAGCATGACCTCAGTCAGTTCAGCGGAGCGCTCATTGAAGTCGCACAACATTCACAGCCTATCCTAGCTGTCTTAGAGCAGTAGGTATACCCTGAACTGGTTGCCAGCCAATCGCAGAAATACAATTACATGAATGGACAGACAGATGTTAACATCATCGTAAACGAATGGACAAATAAGGGTGTCGGAATTTCTTGAGAGTGGACAGACAGATGTTGACATAATGTCTGTATGTGAATGGCGGCGGTGTTAACGCCTTGTTAAATATTGCCGATGTGACGTAATCTTCAATTATAGGTAAATAAAACTCACCCATTTGGCTCTCCCAACACAATAGAGAGTCCTCCAGTCTCTGATTGCTCTTCAGTTACTGATACTTTAACTCAGAAAGTACTGGAAGTAACTGGTTGAGTACAGTTGCTGCTTTAAATAGCAGCATGCGTATCTATTACACCAGGGGTCCCCAACCTTTTTTGCCCCACGATGCCTGGAGAGACGATCCTGCAACAATGGACCCGCCTACCTTTTAGATACACAGTACCATATGACCTAATCCCATACATATAAAAAACAGGAAATATATGGCATTTGGTTTTTCTGATGGTCTGTTAGCATGCATTATATTAGAATGAACAATCTTGGACTGAGTTATAGGTCTTGTGTTTTGGGCGGCATATGATCTGACCTTATCCAAGGACTATGGATGTTCTTAACTGGGAGCACTCGACTGAAATTGTAAAATGCAAAACATCAGTACAGTTACAGCTTTGCACATAGAGCTTAATTTCATAATTGTATTCACGACAGCAAAACCATCTCCCATTTTGTCAGTCCCTTACACCTATTGTGCAGACGGTACATATGGTGAATATGTCCTGTGTGTTAAATAATGTCAGGTCATACAATTGATGACGCGCGGATGTCACGACTGCCAGTGACGGATGATGCGGGTGTCCCCCTGTGTGGTATGGGACAATGTAGGCACCATTGAAATATTATGACCTTCCGAATAGGAATATGCTGTGGCTGAAAGCAATCGACTGCTTGTCAGCCACAATTCTTCGTTAGTGAAGGGACAGGAAGACGTGGTGTTTGGAGAATGCTGTGTCACTGGAGTTCTCCGCATAGTCACTTTCCACAGCAACCCCTCCCCTTCCTATCCACTGCAATGCAATCCCCCCCCTCCCAAATCACATGCTATCAAATGATGTGCGGTTGTCCAACCAGGGTGCTCTATTTATGAGGGTGGGTTTTTTTCTTTTTTTGTTCAGCACCGCCTCGACTGACAGCTATACGCTTCATCATCCGGGCAGCATGTCGCATGGCGCATGCACAGGAGCGTTCCTCTGTGCGCCGGCGCTAGTGTGTGCTGTACCTTGCCTCGTTGCTGAGGGGAGCGGCATATTTATGAGATGTCGGTGAAGGGTGAACAAGGAGGGAGTGGGGGAGGAGTACAGAGATGAGAGGCAGACTAGAGGAGAAATGTGAGCGTGTGAATATGAGAGAGGGATGTTGATGCTAATGCAGAGGGCGGAGCTTGGCTGGCATCTCGTTCTGCCGTACCATCTCTCACGCGCCTTGTTTTTTTTTTCCCCTCCTCCTTACACTTACTACAGCACAGGGCGCATCTATCTGCAGTCATCTCAACAGCTCTGCTGACCCAGTGGACTGCTACCTTTTTTTTTTTTTCTCCTCTTTTTGTATCTTTACGGACCATTGGGCCACTCTTTCAAGCCACCATTCTTTTACAGCAGGGCCCGTCTTGACACATGGCTATGAGGGGGTGTGGTGTGGTACGATGAAGCCCTGATTTAAGAGCCGGGCACTGGCGTGTAGTCTCGCAGCACTCCTCGAGAAGTGGTAAATTAGGTGAGGAGGGGGGACTGACAGAAAGGTAAGTGGAAGGATTTGTGGTGGAAGACGAGTAAAGAGGATCCGGTTGAGGAGAGGAATGATGGTGCCGGCTCCTCGTGCAATGGTCGTGCTGCTCCTCCATAGGCTGCGTGTCATCCCAGCACAGCCCCACGTCACCTCGACATGAGCGTTGCAGGAAGAGCATCCTGCTCCATGCTCAATTGCTTTGTAAGTCCATCGGTGTTTATTTCTTCATTGCATTAAAAAAAATAGATATATTTGTGACTTTGCTTTTTGATATTTGTTTCTCAACGCCCACCTCACCCTAACTTGCTAGTGGCCTGCCTGCCAATCACTGATGGGTGGGGGGGGTTTGATACTGCTCGATACACGTGAGCTCTGCAGTTGCAGTTATTGAGTACCGTAACCATGACAGACTCCATCTACAAGTGTCTTCCACATATGTGTAAGGTGATGATGAAAAACCTGTTTTTGTTAAAAGTCTTCATGCCACTGCGTTGTGTGTTGGGATTCTGAGCTGTCTGCCTGCTAATCCTGATTGGATGTCAGAAGGCCGGTGGTTGAAATGTGTGTTGTTCAGATCAGAGGAGTTGCGCTTTCAGCCTTCGTGCTCATGTGTTTTCGCTGCAGTCCAAAACAAGCGTTTCGAGTATCGGGATGTACCAAGCTATTCATGACAATGACTGAAACGGAACAGGTGGTTCACTTAGTTTCCATCTTTGGTCCTGATGGTGAAAAAGCTGAGGAGGGTTAACACTGAAAAGAATGGTGTGTTGAACTTACTCAATTTTATTTTCAGTGGCTGCACAAATTAAAGTTATCTGCATCCAGGTACATTTTTTAAGTAGACTGTACACCACCTCTATTCATTTTTTTAAAGTGGACTCTCCATCTACTGAAAAAATATATATGGATCCAGATTATTTTGTGAACCGTATTGATGAAATCAAATTGAGTAAATGAGACAAACTTTTTTTTTCTTGCTCCTATGTGGCGTTTAATTATCTGTTGGACTGCTAGTAAGCCTCTGACTATTTGTTTTGTGTGACTTCAAGTTTTGTTTGAATTCTTTGTCTTCTACTACAAAAAGCTACAAAAATGTGTTTTATTTTCAAATTTAGAGGGGAAAATTGACTAACTGCTTATGCAAATTGCTGGTTCTCTGGAGTGCCTGTCCAACCATCACCTTTGCCTATTTTTCAAAATGTCTGTGACGAGGCCGTTATTGGTTTTGCCAAGATGTGACGTCAAAATTTGTCAATGCGCCACTGAGACGAAGTACAATGTAGAACTGTCTCCACGAGTGAATATGTTTTATTGTCTTTTCGAGCAACTGCTTTCTTTCCCAACACTCTGGGCTCTGCTCCCTCAAGGAGAAGAAGCTCTCGTCGCAAGGCTCAGCCTCCACCCTCCTCTCTGTTGCATGAGGCATGACTAAGACTGACTCATTTCAGCAGGGCAAGAGTTAGGGTAACTAAAGGGTCCTATAATTCTCAGTCCTAGGTGTTTTTTAATTAATGTCACAGACCTGTTATGAAAACACCTGGGAAATCTTAAAAATAAACTCCTATAAATGTGTGTGTGTGTGTGTATATATATATATATATATATATATATATATATATTTTTTAAATACAGTCACTTCATCACTGTCCAATTAAACACTGACTTTGCCTTTACAACATGTTGAAATGCTCATTCACATGCGTTTTCCCATACAGTGGCCCTTGTAATGCAAGTTGACTGAAAAGTCATTTTAATTTCCAAATAGTTCCACAGAATATGATGTAAACTTAATTAATTTACTGCCAAGTCAAACTGTTGCTTTATTAAAAAACAATCATCATAAAATACTGTGGAGGCAAAGTTTTAAAGGGACAGTGTGTAAAATTTTTTGAATTTTTTTTCATTGTTCATTCATTTAAAAAAAACACTTACTTTCTTTGCATATTATTGAAATTATGTGATCACTTCAGCATTCTTTTTTTTTTTAATTTTATTTTTTTAAATATAAGCATAGTAATTGCTCATTTATATTCCATGGGTTGTGTCTCACCCTGTAGGAGGCTAACATGTTTTGCCACCATCTTTCTGCTATGGATACCGGAAGGAGACAAACTTGGCGAACGAACTCATCTGAATCAATTTAATATTCAACAAAGAAAAAAAACCCAAACATTACGCTTGCTTCGTCACTTGAGGGGATACTAGAAGTGGTCTGTGGCGACATTTTGCTTTCACCTCTGCTGAAGAAATTGGATTGGTTGTCGGCATGCGATGTGTGATCCCTCTGAGCAACAATCGTGCACGCTGGTGCTCAACATTAATCCAGACTAATGGCAATGCTTTTGTTTGAATTAATCGACTTCATCATTGGCCATGTTTAAAGAAATCATTAGTTTGTCTCTGTTACCACATTCGAGCAACATTTCATTTCACTATTTTATGATGCTTGTCAAATGTCTGCGGTTCCGCTCGTGCTGAGTCATCAGTTCTTCTTCTGCGTCACTGGCTGTATAATTTATATCCGTGCCCTTCTAAATGGATGAACACTCTGCCTGTGCTCTTGTGAAATTAGGATGTAGCATATTGCTCTCACAGTCACCACCCTTCTAGTCCGACTGCTGCTATAAAACGCCTCCATTCACTTTTTCTACAACATGCTCTCAGGATCAAAAGGAGCTATAAAGATTGTTTTCATTGAGTTGTTGGTATTAAATTGGAAATATTTTATAGGCTGATGGGCACCAGTGAAGGATTTATTTTCAGTACAGTGGTTACCGTCTGATACCAATGCAGTCTGTCTCTCTGGAAGTAAAGTGCATGCTGTGCTTTGTTTTTTGGACGGTGGTATGGAAGGGAGCATGGCACGCTAGTGGTCTGTTTGTCTGCTTCACTGTTCTAAAATGCGAAGTTCAAATCTCGACTTCAACCGGTTGAGATCTCTAAATTGTGTGAACAGTTGTTGTGTCTATTGTGGCCCTTCAGAATGACTGGCGACCAGTCCAGGGTATTCTCCAAAGTCAAATGCCGCTCGACTACGACCAAAATAAGGACAAGCGACAAAGAAAATGAATGAATGGATGGATTTAGACATAAAAAGTTGCTTTGTCCATTTCTTCATAGTTTGTTTCTAGTTCGACTTTTGTTAAAGATTAATTGTTTGTATCATATTTTTTGGAACCGTAGTCTCCAGTTTTCTCAGGTCTGACATTCATTCAAATTGTGAGACTGTAGTTGGACAGAACATTCAGTACACTGTGGTCTATGAAATATTTATTTTGCATGAGAAGGGATGGGCAGAGAGGTGCATTTGGAAAGATTTGTCATGCTCTGTCTTGACCCATTAATATTGTCTGCAGCACGGCCTGGCTCTTCGTAAGAATATGGATTTCTGATTGGTCTTCAATTTCATTTGACTTTTATTTCATTTTTCTTTTCTTTTTGCCGTTCATCTGCACTCGATGACCACTTCTCCTTATATCTTGGGAAATGTGCCAACCCTCATCTCCCTTATTTATGAGCACAGCAGTATTTCAGAAATATACAGTTGCATATTGCACGTTCGCAATGTAAGATAGGCATCAGATGGTGGTTCTCTAATCTGCTCACAAAGCCTCATTCAGATTTAGTAATCTTTTGAGTAAGGAGAGATTTTTTATTCTCTTTTTCACATCAAGCAATTGCTGTTGCCATGGCAACTAGACACTTATTCTTGCAGCCCGGGCCTTTGTTTCTCCATCTCGCCCTGCTACCTTGTGTCTGCACAGATTATTTGATTTTCAAGTTTTTTGTTTTGTTTTTTTTTTAATGAGAGTATTGGTACGTGAATCTCTTAACTGATCTGCTCTGTCCGGCCTGCAATGCTTCAAGTTCTAACTTGTCACTGTTATCAGAGTATCGAGACATTAAATGTACCTTTAAATCTGGCGTTGATATTTGAAGAGAGCCATTTGCTTATATGCACATCCCTCTCAGATTCAGCGCTTTCATTTGTGCTTGGACTAAGGTGGGGGGAGGCTTTGCAGGCTAACAGCAGTGACGAGGCAAAAAAAAAAAAAAACAACTTGTGCTCGAGCCAGCTGTGCTCCATATTGGGGAGGTAGGGATGTCTCTTCTTGAATCTTGTCAAACCGAGGCACCTTGCCTCTGACTTTGTTGTTCTCTCTAAGTGATGACAGGATAGGTTTCAGTGTCACTGACTCTTGAGATGTTCTCATTCTGATGTGCAATAAGTTTCATATGGAATTATATGATATCATGTGACTGACCAATCCGATAGGTAATTCAATAGGTGAAAGGTATCCTCGAGCATTACTATTAGAATACATTGAGCTTGATTAGTTTGCCCCATGAAATCAATAAAGTTCTTTTGATAGTAAAATGGCATTTCTTGAGGTCCATTATGAATATCGCTATTGCATGTTTTTTTCAATATTGTGCAAACCTAGTGTTAATTATCTTCAGAATCAGCAACTTTATTTAGGATTGTCAGGATGCTTGAGCCAGTGTTGGCAGTACCTTTTTGCTACTTTTTTTTTTTTTGGTCCCATGTTTGATATTGAATTTTTGGTCTCTTGTGGTCAATGTTTAATCACTTGCGTGACATCTGTGGGGCACCAAGTGCATCTTGTGAAATTTTCTGCCTGGGGTATATTCCACATCAAAGGCCAAGCGCCCTGATGAACACTGGAAACATATTAACCTTATTTGATTTGGACTGACATTCCTTTGCTCAATGACCACTCTTGTCCTTGTTTATATTGCAGGATATTTGTCTTTAAATTTACTCTTTAAATAACCTGTAGTGAGATTTTTTTCCCTCCAATAATGTGTCAGCCTACAGTAAATGGTGACATTTATTTGAACTGTTTATTTGTTAGGGTGAAGAGGGGCCTCCCAGTCTGGAGTACATCAAGGCCAAGGATCTATTCCCCCAGAAGGAGCTGGTGAAGGAGGATGAAAGTCTTCAGGTAAATGGAACAATGTTTAGTTAAACCCTTGACAAACACTGCTTTAAGTTCAGTTGACTTGCTAAACACTTATAGCTACGTTCCTGTGGATTAAAATAGAGCGTCTACTGAGCGACCTGAAACCCGTATCTCACTGAACGGTGAATGCTTGCGAAGGGAACACATTTTGGATTAATCAACTTTTCTGACGATTTCTGGGGGGCAAAAATCAGAGTGTCACCTCTGTCATTAGTGACATTTGGCTTTGCTTCGAGACAATGTGCGAATGTTTGGGGAAAGGCTGCCTTTGAAAAGTAGTGCACTGATTGTCGGGGGCGGGCGCCGGCAGAGTGGTTGCACCCTGGGCGAAGGGCCAAGGCAGCTAGCTGTTAGCCACCAGCCGTTAACGCCGGCAACTGATGAGAACAGCTGTTGAGTCAGCGCATCCACATTAGCTGGCTAGATCTGATTGATGTCTAGCTTGTAGCTGAATATTGACCAACTCTGTTGGGTTTTGTCAGTAAATGAGGAAGGCAGGGAGAACCATGTCATATTTTTGTGACTTCAAACATATAATGATGTAAATGAGTCAACAGGCAAGTAGAGGCAGCATTTTAAATGTAATTTTGTAGATTTAAGTGAGCAATGTTAGATGATCTGCACATTTGTAATATAACAGCAGTTTTGACGTTTGGGATTGAGTTTTCCTGAAATGAAATTTGGCCAGGTGTTGCAAATTTGAAAGACTATTTTACAGTGGACCCACTGCCCAATTTGTGGAGGGTATGCACAGGGTTGGTAGGTGAATGCCTATGTGCTGAATCGCGACTATGTGGGAGTCCACTGTATGGTCAGCATTGAACTCCGAAGTGGTTGGTTGACACTGCCAGTGTTCTGGATCTGCACAAAAACTATTTTTCCTCTGCCTGTGCCACACCCATCCGCAAGTCTCAGTGGCAATGTAGTTTTTCTGTCGTCTTTCACAAAAACAAAGTTGCACAAAAACAGTGGCTAAGAAAACATCTGCCCTTGCATGTGGCAGCACTAATTCAAAGAAAGGTATTTGAATAGTTATTGTCGCCCCCTCTTGTCAATCTAAGGTCATTACAGAAAATATGCTGATGGAAAAACAAAGTGCAAAGACAAGAAATGTGTAATCCACATACTGTTGAACACACAGGGCACACCTGCATGAGCGATACTTTTTTTGAGTGGTACAGTTCTCTTTTTCTTATCCTACCCACATAATTTGCTAGCAATGGGTCTGTTATTCAATCGATGAGGTGCAGTCAGTGGTTGCACTTTTTAAAGGGCACATAAATCATGCGCTGAGTTTTGCCTGCAGGTGGTTGTTGCGCACACGCAGGAACATGCTACAGCATGGACATAGGCTAGAGATTACAACAAAATGAACAGTGTGTAAAGTCTGCCATGCTCAGGTAATTTGATAACAGGATAAGCAAATATACTGCTTTGTCTATGTGGACAGTAACACATGCGACGTGCTTGGTCATTTTTAAAAAAGCGAAGTGTGGCAAGTATCTATCATCACCATGCATGGTGTTTTTCTGCAGCAACAAGCCGTTTGTGTGCGAGGGTCAATCACCTGTTATGTAGGGATATTTTTTAATTGTTTTCATGATTGTCGAGTGCAGTCATGTTTTTACGAGTCGATCTGTGTGCAGGGGGCCTTGTATGCTACACTTTGTATCCAACTTATTTTGTCACTCAGTATTCTTTAATTGGATCAAAAGTCAACACATCAAATAAGGTGGAATGTGGATACAATACAACAGGTTCTGCTGTTACTTGTTCTCATTTTGGTCATTTTGAAACCGGTCCCATTTCATTTGTCTGCCCAGTCATGTTGGTTACCCTCTTCCCTTGCACACGGGCTCTCATATTGTCTTCGTTTCTGCGAAGGCACTCCCACTGTTACTTTCACTGACACCTCAGTTTTCTAGCAGGCAATCCCCCATTAAATATATCGTTTATCACACTCTGCTAAGGCAGCAGCTGTGATGCATGCATGCGTGCAGCTGTGTATGCATACTTGCATGTTCTGATTGGCCAGCTCCTTCAACCGGAAGTCACGACTCACAAGTCACTGTTATTTATGAGGCTCTCTCTCTCTCTCTCTCTCTCTCTCTCTCTCTTGCGCTTATATTCTCGCTCGCCCTTTTTCTAAATTAATTATTTCTGCTGCCAAAGTGTTGTGGAGGACATGCGATACTATCTTCTGCTGCACTCGCAGGCCTCTCAGTGACTCATACATCTACTTTTGGAGTGCAGCTGGTTGAATGCTGTTAGGCTGTACAACATGTTAACGATGGCACTCTCAGCAGGACATCTTTTGGTCTCATTTGCAGAATAGCACAAAGACCAAAGCCCGGCATTCTCATTTCTGCTGCTGTTATGTCTGAACTTGCACACAGGTTTTTGGTTTTTTTTCCTAAACTGCGAAGAATCTAGATATTTCACCATCAACATGATTAGACCCAGACATGAATCTGTATGTTGTTTAAATGTTTTATCTTTGCGATAAACTTTTTGATGTCATTAAATAGGGGCCTCCCTGCGTATCTGAGTCGTTGGTGTCAGCCAGCCTACTGCCTATATTTGGCTGTTTCGGTCTCGGTGCAGCATGTGTTCCAATTCCCAGGTTAAGCTGTATCCACATGCATCCAACCAATGTGCGCACACACAGTGCAGATGCAACAGCGGGTGCGGCCACAGTTTAATACACTACGCTGAAGACTTTCCTCCAAACAATAGCATTTACGGTCAATTGTGGTTTAATGTGTAATCCAAACACGTATTGCTGTCTATTGACTTTCCTTCGTGATTTAGCTAAGACTGCTGTTCACCCAGTTAAAGCGATCTTGATTTTCGAATATTTTACAATAATCCCCATCTGCTCTGCTGCATATCCTGCGCATCAGTGGGTCCTCCCCTGCGTGACTCGGCATTGCATGCTCATGCAGGACAAGCTAACGTGGTCTCTCCACCAGCCAGACGGCGGGACTGGGCTTGAAATCGCTCATTCCCTGATGTCATGTTGATAGAGGAAGACATGTCGGTGCAGGCAAATTGTCGGGTTCAACATTGATGGCACACTGATAATGCATCTTGGGTTTTTATATTTAAGGAGATTTGAAGTAAATTAATCTCTGTATTCACTGACAGAAGACAAATGATCACATTTTTCAACTCCTCAAAAAAAGACAGGACAGGAAATTGTTCGCCAAAGCAATAGTCTTCTGCATCAGTGGACAAAATTGTTGGTACCCCTCCATTAGATTCATAGACTGCCTCTCCCTCACTTCAGGATAGATAGACCAATGTTTTGGATGTTTTTAGCTGTGTGTTTTGGGTCATAGTCCTGTTACAATACCCGTGACCTGCTACTGAGAACAAGTTTTCTGACACTGGGTAACAAATTCCTCTCTAAGATACCTTTTATAGTCTTGAGATTTTATTGTCGCCTGCATAGATTGAAGATACCCTGTGCCAGAATGCTGCCACAGTACATAAGAGGCTCAGAGGGTGCCATTAAGCATGCATGATTTTGGAATGGGAGAGGGGGTGTGGAGGGCTTACCCAGAGAAAACCCACGCAGGCACGGGGAGAACATGCAAACTCCACACAGGAAAACGGGAGCTGGAATCGAACCCTGCACCTCTGCACTGTGAGGCGGACAAGCTAACCAGTCAACGACCGTGCTGCCGCTAGTAATTTCTGAACAAAATAAGATAAAAATCCAAATACAGCATTGTCAACTTGCACATTGCCATTAAAAACCTGATTCTCGAGGTGTAAATGGCACAGCTATGCCTTTTCTTTTTCCTAATCACTTGATACATGTTGATGCTGTGTTACTACCGGTAGTTGTGTTAATATAATCTGTGTGTGTTGTCTTGATAGGTCCCCTTTCCAGTTCTTCAGGGGGAAGGGGTGGAATATCTCGGCCATGCGGATGAGGCTGTCATTGCCATTTCTAACTACAGACTCCACATCAAATTCAAGGAGTCGGTCATCAATGTAAGTCCACCTCAGTGACTTAACTCGTACAAAAGAATTACTTTGTGATAAATCTAGGACTACGGGTATGTACTAAATCCACCAATATGGACATACATGTACAAGGCTCGCAATAAGCAGTTTGCAAGTCAAAATTTGCATTTAGCACTTGAGTCAAACATTTTGAAATGCATCATCAATCATCATTGGATGCTGCTCCTGAGAGGTGGATTTCCCTCAGCTCCATCTGTGCAGGACTCAGGAGACGGGTAGTGCAGCAGCATCGGTGGCTCCCTCATAACCAATCCAGGAAGAGCATCCTGCTCATGTGTGCACCTATTAGTGCACCGAACTGGAGCACAGTACTGCAAAATACATATGAAGTGTTGACGTGTCAACGTGTTTTGCAATTCACATGTAGTTCTCACGGCAAGTTGCTGCCTTCATCAATGCACGAGCCACTAGTCACACTTTAGGTATGTCAGGTGGCTTGCCACGTCACTGGCAAAAATGGTTTGTTTCACTCTGCTTTGTGCTCAAGTCCAATTTGTGAGCAAGTAGCTGCTTTTAACATTTTTACCTTACTACAGTGTGCTCTTGTTTTGAAAGTGGAGATGTGATTGGGCTGCTGCTCAGTGCTCTTTATTCTTGTGAAGACTCGAAGAGCACCACCACAAAATTCTGAAAAAGTCTTCCATCCACTGTTTGCCTGTCACCTTTTAACAAAAAGCTGTAAAGTAGCAGTCCCACCCCCCCCCC